CGCTGGCGAAGAGAATGGCTCGAACTGTCCAGGTCTGCGGCCACGGACCGTCAAGCGTGGAGAAGCACCATACGGGACATAATTGAGGCCGGCAAGATCAGCCATGATCGCAGCTGTAACAAGTACAAGTACATACCTATGCATACCTATGAGAATTGACAGTTCTCTCCTACCGATGATAGCTACCAACTTGTGCGCTAATTGCTTGATGCCGGCATGTGCTTCGTGACCTGCTGGCACTTCATCCTCCGTGCTGGCTCCCTGGTGCTAACGTTAGATGACACGTTGGTCTGTGCGTTCCTCAAGTGCCGACTTGCTTTGGCCAAACTGGGCTTCGTCACCGAATATGGGATTGGGCAGCTCGTTGCACTTGTTTGTAAACGGGCGGCCTGTGAATCGTGGCTCGAGTAACTCGCGATTAGCACCTCCCGCGAGAATTTCGGACTCATAAAATTTTAATATTCGGCCGGGTCTCGTCGAATGAGCCGTAGCTTGAGAATTTGCGTCATTTCTCCGCACGGCTGTCGCGTATTTAAAAATTCGCTTTTGGAGAAGTCGTCCGATTTCTCCGACGTGGTTGCTTTGCCCGCAACTCTACAAGATCATATAGACTTCTCCAGATGTTTTCTGCCGCTACTTCTTTTGTCTCAGATGACGAATCCGCGATGTCAGGCTAATATAATCCCGGTCCCAGCATTTGAGAAATGCCTCTTCTTAATTACCTCCTGGATCTCTAATTTCCTTCTCTATCGGTATACGCCAATGTTGTAGTATACTTGACTCGGTAAAATGTAGAGCTTACGCGAACGCGTAACTTTAACTAGAATTTATTATTTACAAGTAAAATATTTTCTTCCTTTTTAGTTGGAGTTTACACAAAAGGAGGATCCCACCGCTCAACCGAGTGAGAAATCGGGGAGTCCATTCAAACTTCGACATGACCGTGTTTAAAATTTAACTTCAAAGTCTTATTCTTACTGCGTACAAGCTGCCATTCTACTAACCTTACTATTTTTTCTTATCAATTTCTACACAAAAGCTTGGACTTTTCCTAACCAAAACTTCTGTCCAAAGAAATCAAGAATCAACGCATCCTAACTGTGTAAACTATGTTCTTTCGTTCATAATTTATATGCGGGCAACTTTAAATAATCGCGTACTAGCAAATAAACAAGAAACGCATTTCCTTTGAGCAGTCGAAATTTAATACCTCTCTTAAAGAGCGCGTCCTGCATATGCGGTGCGCGTTTTAGAGTCGGTGGTCGGCAGCAGGTGACCCTTGTTTCAAGGTCAAGGCGGTTAATTTGACATTTATTGATTTATATTTGGACTTTCAGTTGAGCTGCCAAGCACGCCTTAAGATGGTCGCAATCGGAGCAGCATATTATGCCAACTTGGACAGATTGGAGAATTGGCTCCTTTTTAGCTTTGGTCTATTTTCTTTCGCGCTGGAGCTGGGTGGCTTAACACTACGCACACCCGACGGTGTTGGATTAACTGTTCCCTTCTATCATCACGCGGGCCTTTTGATGGGAGCCACCGCCATTTCCGTCAGTCTCTTCACTGTGGTAAGCAGGCGAAACTTTTTAATAGTGAGGCTGGAAATTCCTGTAACATCCTTCGCAATGGTAATAAACAGTTTTTCGGTGGGATTCCTTATTGACGAAATGATTGTCTGGTCTGAAATGCCCAGTGTTGAAAGTTACCAAAGTTTATTTAAACGGAACTTTGCTCAGGACAAATACGAAACGGCTTTCAATAACTTCATACAACTGCACTACAGCCGCTGTATGAGCTGTTTTTTTATGGCAAATGTCTGCCTGTGTTTTCTATACTTTCGTATGGTCATGATGGGACTAATTGTTTACGATGATCTGGCGTCTGCGGAGAACAAATTTATCGAGTCGGACGCTGGGCAGCCCGATGATCAGATACTTGCAAACATGGACGACGGCATGTTTGGTGCGGCGATCGGAGGACCAGGTCAGGAACCAGGCGAAAAAGGGAAGAAAGGTAAATTGTTCAATTCTTATTAATTAGCACTGTGCATACCACAACTTCAGCCTCGTTTATACAATGACATGAAAAAATCCGCCATAAAAGTAGACAAAGTACTACACACTTGGACTCCGCATAAAGCTGAGGGCTGTAAATCTTTGCCCTCCTAAACTAGGCGTGGTGTCCAGCCGGGCCTGAGAAAGAATGAGACAGTGGTAGCAGTTGCTCAAGTCAAATTGCGGAGCAGGTTCAAATGTTCTCCAATTGGTGCGTGTGACATTACCCGAGGGGTATCGTGTCTGGTTGCGTAAGCTGTGTCAGTCGAGAATACAGAAAAGGGGCGTGTTTAAGTGGCACTTGGGCAGTCTTGACTACCTGGACGTACGTGTTTGTCCGAGTGGAAGTCGGCCAAGTCTTTGCAGTTCAACGTATCTGTAAGTGCTCATTGTGGTAGTGGATGAACTTGAGATAGCTGGCCTTGAAAAAGAACGCCGGACAAAGTAATGTTGGGCGTCGGCTACGGAATAACTTATAAATCTCCCAGATAGAATAAGGGAATAGGGGCCCGTCCTTGTCATAGGCGTGACCTTACAAATCATTCCAGTTACTTAAAATATTCCCCTGTGAAAACTTTACATATTGAGGTGAATCAGTTAAAGCTGCTTCCGTATGACTTTTCATAGTCGTCAGTTTTCCCAATACTAGTCATGCGATAAGCAAAACGCGAGGGTTAGCTCCCCTTATAAGATAAATGAGCCTCCTGTATATTTCCGGTGAGGCGGAAATTGGTTTTAAGTTGCTTCTTTTTAATTTTCTCAAAAATAAGTCGCTTCAAGAGAAATGTGCAAAATGTGCACATTTATCTCAAGTCTG